TATATATGTCAAATTAAACATTTAAAAAAATCACGCACAGAACATTTTCAAGTCTTCCTTTAATTAGTTACGAGCCAAAATTAGCACAAAGGTGATCAATGTCAATTTCATGCTCTTCGATAAAAAAAGTAACCATAGAAAATATCGAAGTAAACTAGAAAGATAAAAAAAACTGTTTAAATACGGAGAACGATCTAAAAGTATTATAGGACTGATATATGAATAATTACGAATAGTGTAAAGAAGTAGCTTACTTTGTACCGTGTGTACAGTTTCTCGGTTTCGCTCGATAAATGTGGATCAATTATTCGTCAATTATGTACTTCGGATAATCAACATTGCGTAGCACTTGTTGACGTTAATTAACCGCTTTATTTCGGTACGCGCGATAATTTTGTCATACAAATGGGACAACTTTTCGTATGTTGTGTATGTGCAAGCTGATAAAAAGCTGAAGAGCATGATTAACACACGCGTATTGTTTTCTCAGGTAAATCCGACAATTTTCATCTATCTAATAGCTGTTTAACTTTTTTTCTGGATCTTAGCAGCCTCACATAGACGTGTGCTCGACCTTTTCCAATGAGAGAATAGAGCGTCGGATGTCTGTTTAACGTAATTAATCGGTGTGCTCTCTTAGAGGTTCCCATTAATCTGACCAAGAGAGATAAGATTGCTAGCGTTATGATGGCATTGACGCTTTCGTACTCGCATGATAACTGTTTCTGAAAATTTAATCGCCTATTCCACGATGCCTATGCAATGCTCTCTCTTTCTATCTCTCTCCCTTCTTCTCTCTTTCTCTCAACTAAAAAAAAAAAAGATTATTCCTAAATAAACGATGAAATCACTTTGATTAATTCCTGACGCAAATTCATATCTCATTATTTACGTTCTTTCTTCTCACAACAATTCATTTGACGTCACGTTACAATTCAAAAATTCACAAAATCATCTAGAAGATTTACAACAGTGTTGTAACTTAAATTCCTACAAATATAGAAATATGATGTTTTTCGTATCATTTTGAGTGAGGCAGCTTTGAAGGATTCAAAATGGAAAATTGCACGAATGTCCAAAATGATAATTCTCAGAAAATGTAAGAGAACTCCAAAGACTAAAATATTAAAAAATTTTCCTTTTTGAAAATGCAAGATTTAACGATCATAGAGTTTGAAACGTTGAAAATTCGACGAAATAGAAATCGGGAAATTCAAGAATTTGAGAATTTAATGACTTCAGAATCTATAGGAAACCCAAGAAAATCCAGAAATTTAAGGATCCAACCCTCCCCGGAAAGTTCCGCGCACGCAAGCACGTAGCTTGTGTTCGTGCGTATATTCATCTACTCCGTCCACCAAAGATAGAGTCTGACATCATACACACGAGCATCAGTCGGGTCGAACGAATGATAAACATATGTACTCGCACACACGGTGTCCTCGTATGCGGAAGATTCCAGTTTATCACTTGTACAACTGCCTTGATCGATCGATGCACCCACCGATGCCGCAGGGCGTGTGATTCTGCTCTTTCTCTTATTTCTCTTCGTATCTGAACGACTTGCTACGCGCTTCCGCTGACATGCTGAGTGAGAACACAAATCTTTAGTTATAACTATAAAAATATAACTAACTTAGCTGTAGTGCTGAAATTTTGGCGCGTATCTTACTCGTTAATCTTTTTACGAATTCTTAGACGAGAGCGAGATGACATTGACGACAAGCACGTAAACAGTTTGGTAACTGCGAACGTTCTCTCGAAAATAACATTCGCGTAGATCCAAAGATCTACAGACAAGAAAGACTTTCAAAGATATAAAGACACTGATATGAAGACCGAATATTTTGCCTCTCTGAAATTCGGAGACTTATTATGATTTCAAAAAAAGCGGTGATATACATTCAATGATGAATAACGTTAATTAGGAATTGCCGCGACAGTCATATCAGTTATCTCGAGTCATGTTATTAAAAATGAAAAAATAAGCGAAACAGTGCCTTGGAACGGTTGGTTTTTCCTCAATGAAACTATTGTAGTCAGATAAAACAGACTTATGAAGCGTGCTCTATAAATCTTATCATTAAATCAACAAATATTATATTCTTTATGACGTAAAACTATAAAAAAAGATAAAACAATTTCAAGATATATGTTGTATAACTTTTATGTGTTTTTTGATAAAAGTATAACTTTATTTTCTGAGATTTCTCTCATTTTTTTATAGTTTCTTTGACGTATCTTACAAGTCTTCTCCGTCGAGATGCGATGCTCTCGTTAGCTCTCGAGAGAAAGTTTAATTGTTTCAATTGTGTTGACTGTTTATTTAGGTAATGATTATGCCAGCAAACGTAAAAGTTAAATGCCCTGATTTCTTAACTTTTTTCGAGTCTTGAGTGCGTATCGCCTCGAGGGTTTATTGTTCGCCGAGAATAATGACGATTTACACGAGCTCGGATACGGCAGCTTTATAGTAACACGTAACACCCGCTGCTGCTGCTGATAAGGCGCCTTTGTACATACTATATCGGTAGACGTCACGAAATCAGCCTGATAAAATACGATTCGTTCAAGTACGATATATAAGATAATATACGCGCAATATAATCTGTCACGCAATTATCGATAGTCTGATAGCGTTGAAGTAATATGCGATTTTCGAGAATGTCCTTTTCTCGATCTTTCGTTAAATGATTTAATTTAATTTCATATATCTAAGCAGAATTATAATTAAATATTGCTGTGATTCAATTGATGTATTACTGTAATCGGCAGACTGAGATAATTGAAAAACACTCCTAAGAAAACAGCGACTGTTATTTATGTACATATGCGCATGTATGCGCATATATGCGCATATATGCGCTAATATATCTAGTTATTCAGACATATGTATTTACATAATAATGTTCAGGCAATGACGCTTTTTTCATGAAAATTCGACAAAATTTTAAATAATTCAAAAAAAGCTTGTAATTTTTTGTGCTAAAAAAAATTATAACTTCGCGCGCGAGAAGTTTTGATAAAAGGATTAAGTAAAATTTTTATTAAATTTTATATTTGGTGATTTAATATTTTCTTATGATACGCTCTTTAAAAATGTTATCAATTTTTTTTGTAAAAATGCAAGTCATTCTTCAAGGAAAATCATGATTCAATAATAGCAAGAACTGATTCGTCTCGCTAAAATGCAATTATTTCTTTGAATAATATGATTTTACAATTTTTTAGTCCAAATATGAAACTTAATATTTTTAATTTCTAATACCTATTTTACGAAATTAATATTAAATATTATAATATTTGAAGCTTTCATATTTTGAAAAAAATTAGTATTAATGCACACACAATTAAAATATTTTAAGTTTTTAATATTTTTGAAATTAAAAAATGGAAAAGTATAAGGATCTAAAAATAGAAATACTTTACAATGCACGCCAGTGACGCCAGCAAAATTTTAAGGATTCACATAAAAACTCACAATCAACGAATTAAAACGCAATCAAATATTTAAAAGTTCGGGATCCGAAGAATACAAGGATACACTAGCAACTGAAGATTTAAAAATTTAGAAAATAGTTAACATATAAAATTCTTAGAAATTGGATATTTTGTCAAATTAAAAAATCGAGAGTTATAAACTACAATAGGGTAACTCCGGCAAATACGCCGCGATGGGATTTACGCCGTAGAAGTCAGAAAAAATAGAAGGAGAGGATAATTTTTGCTGCAACTACTCTGTTACATGCCTTTATGTTATATTATTAGTATTGTGTTATAATTTCAGTTTCTTACTGTCAATATTAATGAAATTATTGTGAGTTAAATCGATTTATCACTGTAATAAGTAGCGTCATCATAAATTATAATCTACATAAAATAATTACTATAAGGCGCGTAAAAGACTTAATGATTATTTCGTGATACATAAGTGTAGAGGAATAATAAAGCATGTTGTATAGCAAAATACAAGTGCTTTGCTCTTGTATTCTATATTTAGCTTGTTGTCTTGTATGTTCTACCTGTTTGGGATACACGGCATTTTTAGCGGATTTATGCCCAAAGCATATAAGTACTCAGATTGGATTCAATGCACTAAATGCAATAAACACATTACATGAAATATGTATCTCATGTAATAACACTGTAATATATGTAGAAAAAATATAATTATTATCTATTACTTCATATACATACTTTTATCATTCTTATTCCTTAATAAAACTTTGTAAACATATTTTATGAGTTATTGTGTCATTTTACGTCTTATTTATAAGCATTATTTGTAAATTTTTTCATGAGCTACCTTCCTCCCCCTATGAGTAGTCATATATCATCCCACCCCTATGGAATATACGGCAGAAATGCAGAGAGAGATGTCAAAAAGTTTTTTTTAACACGAAAAATAAGTATTTCGGATTTCTAATATTTTTTTCATAGTAGTAGATAGTATAAAGTTTTCATTAATATAATTCATTATGAGTTATTGTGTCATTTTACGTCTTATTTATAAGCATTATTTGTAAATTTTTTCATGAGCTTCCTCCCCCTATGAGTAGTCATATATCATCCCACCCCTATGGGATGTATAGCAGAAATGCAGAGAGAGATGTCAAAAAGTTTTTTTTTAACACGAAAAATAAGTATTTCGGATTTCTAATATTTTTTTTCATAGTAGTAGATAGTATAAAGTTTTCATTAATATAATTCATCTTAAAAATAGTAAATAATACTTAATAAATTAAGTTTTTGTTAGGTGCGGCGTATATACCGGAGTTATATACCCGTATATACCCTAATGGTTGCGTTGAACAGAAAATGCAGTTTTGCAATTTAATATTGCAAGATTTTTTAATATAATTAGTTCATGTCCTTAGATCCTCATTAAATTTAAATGTGTAAATTAATCACATTAAAAAATCCTACAATAATAGCAAAACTGTTTTTTCTGGTAAATGCAACTAATCGACGCAGATTTAATAAAAAAAAACACGACTCACCATCAATGGGTCGAAATCGGAATCTCTTTAACCTCGGTAATGTTGCAGGAGAGCAAACTCTCGTTAGAATCGGCATCTCACTGACTTCTTCAGATGACGATCGGCCAGAAGTTCCGTTCGAGGACGATTTCAGCTCCAAAACGGCTGCACGCTTCGGCGATCTCTCTGTGCCACTGGCCTCTGTGAAATGAAAAAAAAAGGAACGTGAGGCCAGGTATATACATCCTTTGTTTGAGTTGACTGACTGCGTGCAATCTCCTGACGTGGACGATGGTGCGTCATCATTCGGTGTCATCGTGTGTGTCATTGCTCCAGTATGCGGATTGCAAAACTTTATGTGATATTACTTAGTGTGACAGCACTTTTTTTAATAACTATGTCGATATCGTTGCACAATCTCTATATTTTCACGTGAGCAAATAAGTTGAATCTGTATACTTCCTGTATACATTTATATACCATCCACTATCAGATTCTTTCACTGAATAAAACATTATTTATATCTGAATTTTAAAAGCCATTGTAACATCTTTTGATTTTAATCTGTAAAATACTGTAAAATACTGTAAAATATTGTAACTTAGAGACACAATGTTTTCTATAGATTATTCTATATATAATAATCTATAAATAGATTATTAATATACAATAAAAATTGTTTGATGCTGCATAATTAAGATATATAAAAGAATCCAAAGAAATTTCAAAATCTTCAAAAAATTTCAATAATTTTTTGTATACAATTTTATAAATTGCATTTTTTTAAATAAAGACGTTATTTTTTTTTAATTTATCCAATTATTGTTTTAAACTATAACTTAATACAGTGCATAATACGGTGTAATTCTCAATTTTATTTCTTATGTATTTCAAGTTTATTCTTTTTTCATCTTAATTGTCTTTACTTTGAATCATACATTTTTACGATATGTATACATAGCCAATAAATGTCAAACTATCAATACAAAACTCATCAGTGGTCTGAGATTGCAACTCTGAGTCATACGCTTAATGATCAAGAAAATCCAATACTTGCGAAATATCTTGGCCTCATTCTTTTAAAATGGTGCTCTTCTTTATATGAAAAACTGCTTGTGCATCGACTAAATAAAAGGTTTTTAAATAACATTAATAAAAATAGTAGAAAAAATAGTGACTAAAAAATAATCTATTCTTGATTTTCGATATGAAGCACAGCTATCAAATTTTTTCTAAAAAAAAGAAACAAACTAAATGTAATTTTTAACTACAAATAAATAGGAATAAATATACTTTTAATATAAAAGTCTGCTACCAACTTCAATGAATTTCTATATAATAATAAAAGTTATGTTTGTCAGTGTTAATTACAATATGACTTGCAACTATATTAAATTTAAAACAAAAGAGACAAACTAAATGTAGTCTTTAATTACAAGTAACAGGGAAATTTGTATTAATATAAAAATCTTACCAACTTCAATAAATTTCCATATAATAAATGTTTGTCAATATTAATTATAAAGTTATATACAAATACAGACCTTAATGGATTATCTATCAATTCAAAATAATCAATAATTAAATTTAAATGCAAAAGAATTAAATTTAAATAACACACAACACAACAACAACACAACACATACAAATAAAGAAAGCAAGTTAATAATCTTATTATACTAACAATGTCTTTATATAAATTGTGTAAAAAAACATTAGACTTTTATTGCTTAAATTATTTTTCGTGAATTTAAAAAATGTCACACAATATTATAAGTAAAATTAATAAGTTTGTACTTCTGAAACTTAAAAACGAGTTATTAACTTCAATGTTATAATGATTAATAAACGAAAAAAAGAAAGCAATAAAATGTGTTGGTATCACTTTGCAAGATTTATATTTTGTAAACAACATACCGTCCATTCTTCACACATTATTTTGATTTGCAAAAGTCAAACAATCACTAATTCAAACGGCACATAAGAAAGTCGTCTACCCGAATTCTATTCACAATGTGTCACAGAAACTTCTTTTTTATTAACAAACAGCACCTTATAAAACCCAACTAGACTACTTGGATTATTAAAATATAAAGACATATATATATTAGACAAATCGTTCATAATGCAAATCCAGTTTTCAATAGCGCCAGCTGCAAATCTAATTTTACGGGTGAAAATTCACGATGAAGATCTATGGGCGATGCCTGTCATTGTCAACGTGTGGTGTCACTTACCCGGCGACAGCGATCTCTTGACGGGCGACGATCTCGCGGCGCGATGGCTCGTCGTTGACTGTGCCGCGCTGTCGCGGCTGACCGTCGATATCTTGGCACTCATCCTCGCCACGAGGCCACCGGGCCGCCCGGCAGTTCCGGTGATCCTGACTCACGTACCAGGAAGCTCAGTCCGGAGGACGTCGTAGGAGCATTCCGGCTCGTCGAGTTACGGAGTGACGGATCGCCGCTTCTCAGGTTCCCGTGATTGTTCACGCTGACCTGTAAAAACATCCATCGTCAACATTCGTTGAACGAGAGCGGGGTGGACGTGGTAATCTGTCCTCATCCAGAGAAAAGGGTATTTCTTCGATTAAAAAAAAAACTGATTTGAATGAAAGAAATTTGTGTATTACCTATGTTGTGTGCTATACGGTCAAAGAAAAGCTTCTTTTATTTAAACGTTATTTCTTGAGATCAAGTAAATTTTTATTTTCCTCAAAGGTATTTTCACTTCAACCTGAAAAAATTAACGAAAGAAATGATTTTTTTCGATTTAAACGTAACTTTTCTAGTACCGTTAACACTACTTTCATTATTCGAAATAAGTAATTAAATTGATTAGTATTAAATTTTTATAAAGGCTGCCAGTAATAAAACACAGACGGAGGGAAACTAAGAAAACAGTATTCATTCGACAAACGAAATTCCTACCCAGTGAAAAATGAAAGTAAAATCGACATCGAGTTGATGTCGATTCTATTATCATTTTTCATTGGATAAGGCCCGAATTTATAGTCGTTCTTCAAATCCCAAGTTTGATCTCCAATATCAAAACTCAGATTTCAATCTCGAATTTCCATTTAAAATTCAATGCTATCCAACGTAAATTTCAATGCTATCTAATGGCTAATCATCAAATTCAGTTCTTCATGATTGTCCGTGACTGAGCGAGAAATGCGAAAATCATGGTAGAATCAGATTGATTAGTGGATTCGAATTCCACTATGGCGAGAATGAAATAATATAATATATTTATAATATTTATAATATATAAAATATTTATAATAAGATTAAGTAATGATATTTTAGAGATACAAATAATGAACTTTTTAGAAAATTTCAATTTCGAATTTATGATTGAATGCATCGTGAATAGGAGTTCATTTAACATTGCATTAAATGAAGATAGATTAAAATTTTTATGTGTTATATAATTTGAAAATTATTATCTTTTTCAGAGATAGCCATTTAGACATAGGGTAACTGTCCCTATTAATGTGTCTTTTAGCCAATTTGCTCATTACTGAATTAATTATTAAATATTGTAGCTTTAATTTTATCTGCTTGCAATCAATATCGGTTTTTCAACTACTTCTTTTTCTTATAATATTTCTTTAATCTAAAAAATGTTAATACTTTATAATGTTTTTGACAAAAATAGAAAACATGTTTTTGTCCCTATTAATGAGTCCTCTAAGCGGCGATGGACCTATTAATGCCCCCAATTTGTGTGCCTATCCACATTTGACTCGTTTTAACATATAGTTACTAAAACAGGTAATAAATTTAAGCTAATTGTTTATGTTAATATTACATAAAGCATAATTTCAATTATATTTATTTCAAAGTACACTCATAATACAACATTCTCAGCTCCAATACAGGGCATATTAATAGGGTCAAGCTTAAAATCTTGCGGTACGTATTACTAGATTCACATAAATTCCTCATATCTTTCGAAAAATATTTAAAATACTTTAATACTCAAAAAATAAAATATTATCTTCGGTATCGTATGCATTAATAATTTAACTTAACAAAAAAAATATTTTTTCTTATTTATTTATGCTAGTTTTTTTTATGACTTATCGAAATACAAAAGCACACACTAATAGGGACAGGCATAGTAATAGGAACAGTTGCCCTAGTACGTTCTGATGCAAATGTGGCCCATCTTTCAAGACTTGCTCGCAGTATTCCCTAACTTAAATTACGTTCACGTTTTAATTAGGCCCGCGATTAACCACTTTATTAGTACAACACATCTTCGACTTAACTTTCCGTCAACGATATGCTCGGAACAGACATATCGGAAATATTCAAGTCTAAAGGCCGCAGCACAGACTTTTGCGTAATGCATAAGGCATAATGCATAACGCATAGCGTAACGTGTAGCAACGCACAAGCTTGTACATAAGATTGTACTATTTGGAATGTCTCAATTGGAAATAAGATAATATTATATAATTATACAATATCATTATACTATATAATTTACTATATAATTAAATAATG